ATAGTTGTACAATCTTTCTCGTCGTAAACTTTTGGCATTCTCGCATTTGATATATCCTCCACATAATTCTAACAGGATAAGGGCTGACAGATGTTTAACTTTAAATGTGTAGTGTATAATATAACATATAGTAAACCGATCACCATTTATCTCAACATAGCTGCTCGAAAGTTGTGTAAACCTCATTAAATCGAAAACAGGCAATTAGGCCCGCAGTTCAGTTAGGGGCTTCATTACGTGACCTCGGTCGTACATTTTTGCATACATGATCACGGGAACAACAGGGCGCCCCTTAGGCTTGGAAGATCAATTAGTAAACAGTTTGAGCGGCTCCCTAACACACTGGATTGTTGTAATTTGTTAGTTTTTTATTAGCGATTTTCGTTGATGGGTCAAGTCCATTTTCGGTAAAACTTCAACCATCCTTATTTTTATTAAATAAGCATTACAACAGTATTTTCCTCAACAAAATCGAAAAAAAACCCGCCACTCAGTGACCAGGAATAGCACGTGATTTAAGGAATAGCACGTGATTTAAGGAATAGCACGTGATTTAAGGAATATCAGAATTAGTTTGGACATGAGTCATGGGTATACATACTACATAGGTCCTTATTTTGAGTACAATCTACAATATACAATTTATAACACCTTCTCTCAACCTCTATGTCTATGCGCTCTTTACCTTCCTTTATCAGTTTATACCTGCTCTGTATAATAAAATGTTATAACAATGGACTTTCTCTTGCGAGCCATCAAGAGGAAAGGAGGAATCTTCTTTCGATTCATTAGCTCATTAGTCACACGGAAACGATGCACACTTAAAATGTTATCGGGTGGGGACTCAGGACAAGCAAAGCATGCTTTGTATGTTTGCAATTGGCTGGCCGGCTAACACTTTGCTTTAACAGGCTTAGTTGAGTCACGTGATAACTTTGAGAACTAATACCAAAGACACAGCGATCAGGATAATGCCATTAGGGTTACTGGTCGCTCTGTTTTGTGATCTGACGGCCCCAACGTTAATGTGGCTCTTGTTATGTGTTGGTTCAGCCGAATTAATTATTATGCAATCAAGTTTATTTTTCTCGTTAGTTGTCATCCGGCCAAACATTAAGCAACTTATATTGCAGTTCCATTTATCAATTAGTATATCAAAATATGTCATTGTAATTTTGCATGGATGAAATGTAACGCTTGATTTATATAATTATATATAATGATTAATTGAATTTTCAAATAAAAATAATAGAAAATTCTAGAAGCTTTACTACTCATTCGCATTGAGTATGGTTTTATGAGCTCTTAGTCTTCAACTCTTAATATAAATAGTCTTCAACTCAAAAATAATATAAGCAAGCCCAGTCAAAACATTTGTAATATAATGTGTTTTCTCTTTTTCCACCACATTAAGTATTATCCCATCCAGAGAAACGTTGCAAAGTCATGACGGTTTTATCCGTCCTTAGTTAACATAATATACTAAATTACAGAAATATTTCGCATTTGAATCCTAAGGTGATATTATAATGAGCGCATAGGGATTAATCACTATCCCTATTTGGCTTAGTTTTAATCAAAACTCTCAAATACCTGTGATTATCTTTTGATTTATGATTGATCGTGTTTTACTGCTATGTTTGCAATAGTGGTACCAGTTATAAATATGATAGTGAAACATCGGTATGATGAAACCAAACTGTTTATTACTGTTTGTTATTACCATTTTACTGACACCACTATCTCGACTGAAATTTGTGATAGAACCGAACCATTTTTTAAATTTTAATGCAACTTTTTTTGTTGCCTGTAACTAACAACCCAGAGAATGGTTAGATTTAGTTTGCGCCATTAATTTGGATGGAGCTGTATCCTTGGAGAATCCTGGCACACTTTCGTGTACTAAAAGAAGATTTGTCACTTTCAACCGAGTTTCACTGAGCTTGCTACTGCTGCATATTTGTGTGTTGAGGGAATACCCTTTGACTTTTTTGCATCTGCTCAGAGAGACCATTTAATCGAATTCCATACGCCAAGGTGTAGGATGAGCCAAGAGTTCAACAACGTAGTGGTAATGAATATGGAGCATACAACTGAAGCTCATAAAGTCCAATAACACGGACAAACCGTTTAACCTTCAGCTTGACTCCTTTGATCGCCGTTCTTTTGTATTTTGAGGGACAGGGCTACCAGAACAATGAGTTACACTGCTTGTCAGACCGCTTAGTCCATGAAGCACAAAGAGATAGAGAATGCAATTGCATGTAATCCCAATGAATTATTCAGGTAAACTAGCTAGTTATATAGCAGGATCTTGTGGTTTGTATTATGCTGTCACGTGACAAGATTCATCACGTGGCCCAGAAATTAAGAGTCCTGGAAAACAATTGGCTGGCTGGCTAACACTTTGCTTTAACAGGCTTAGTTCAGTCACGTGATCACTTTGGGAACTAATACCATAGACACAGCGAGCAGGATGATACCATTAGGCCCACTGGTCGCTCTGTTTTGTGATAGAAAATTCTAGAAGCTTTACTACTCATTCGCATTGAGTATGGTTTTTATGAGCTCTCAGTCTTCAACTCGTAAGCAAGCCCAGTCAAAACATTTGTAATATAATTTGTTTTATCTTTTTCCCCACCACATTAAGTATTATCCCGTCCAGAGAAACGTTGCAAAGTCATGACGGTTTTATCCGTCTTAGTTAACACAATATACTAAATTACAGAAATATGTCGCATTTGAATCCTAAGGTGATATTATAATGAGCGCATATAGTGATTAATCACTATCCTTATTTGGCTTAGTTTTCATCAGAACACTCAAATACCTGTGATTATCTTTTGATTTATGATTGATCGTGTTTTACTGCTATGTTTGCAATGCCAATAGTGGTACCAGTTATAAATACTAGCAGGAACCCTAAAGTGGAGTCAAGACTCGAGAGACTAAAATAATTATTACCTCGCAAAATGGTGATTCATTTATTTCTTTATTGATGTATAGTAAGAACGTGACTGTTATATATAATCTGATCCCAAGATAGATCATTACAATGCGATTAATGCACAGTTGGCTACGATTAAATTCGAAAATCGCTTTATCCAATATTTAACCTAAAATATATCACCAAGTGAAGAAAGATTTATCATTTGAAGAAATCAAACATTCCAATGGGAATAATGACTCTCCAGAGAGGATTATTCTTTGTTGTTCTGCTTGGAACTACTCTCTGTGTTGGTAAGCTTGAAATCACTGACCATTAAAAACCAATAGATAAATAACACATATATTATAGCACTTATAGTTATATTCAATTAAATATTGCATTTTATGATAATTACTATAAATCTTTATTTTGTCCCCAGAGTGGAAAAGTGTGGTGCGACAACAGTTTATCGACTACGATCTAGAAAAACACCCTATACAGATCAAAACTGATTCTATTGTAGGGAGTGGCGACTATCTGTCTCTACTCTTGTACCCGATAGATCTTCTCGATATTGAACAATATGAAATATATTTCGACATCGAATTTTCAGATACCATCCGTTACTGGGTAGGCAAATGCACACGCGGTCAAACTCAGCCTTTCGAAGCAACACCATTAGAACAGGAGAAGATCTGGACCATAACTAAAACATCCACCAACTTGATAGTCCACTGCAACGGTGTTGAAGTCCTTGATCTCGAGTTTTCGCTATCTTCTAGAAGCGAGTGTGCATCAGCATGGTCAGCAGATGTCAGCAAGGTGGCATTTTTTGATGACGGTATTGATAAATACATCGACACCGCCTCTGATGAATACAGGATTAAACCCACAACTTGTGACTCCCTCCCTGATGTAGATCATCTAGAGGTAAAGTCTGGTACTCTCCCTGCCCACTTTGGAGACTCTGTCACAGTACAGTGCAGTTCAGGATTCACATTAAGGGGAGACACCGCCATCATTTGTTATCCGGAACGAGGTTTCGACGGGACTGTATCTTGTGAAGAAAGTGAGGATTTACATTTCCCTACTACTCATGATTCAGATACTTGAACAATAAAAATCAGATGATGCAATAATTAACGTTGATTTCTTCGTTTTTTCCAGTCGATCACAATCTGAATTCAAAAAGTACGATTAACTCTAATAAGTTGAAAACCCCACAATTTCAGTGATAACACTGACCTGTGTACCTGTGTACCTGAAAGTAGGTAAATCTGTCACACTAACCGCCACCCTGGACAAGGAAACCACTTGGAACCAAGTAACCTGGACTAAAGGAGCTCAAACTCTCGCGACGTGCAGTACCAACTGTAACAGGGAGGGTCTGAAGCTCCTTTACCAGACAGAGAAGTTGACGGTAACAGGACTCTTCATCTACTCTGTAGAGATAGAGAAACAGGGCCGGTCTACTGCAGTGAGCTGCTCTAACACAGTCGCTGTATTTGGTAAGTGAAATTAGAAGTTAAAACCTTAACTATTTGAGTCAACGCTTTAAAATCTTCCGATGAAAGATCTCAAAATAAGTTTTAGGGACTTATTTTGGGGTCGGCAGTCAGCTGATTTAATATAATCATCAACTCGGGCACCGAGCAAGGAGAAATACAGGGATCTCCGGTCTTTAACTGTTGTCTTAATTACTCTGCACACTTTATGGAACCAGGCTATTCCGCTATTATTAAGGCGGGTTTACAGCTTGCATCTCCTTGGGCAGAAGAGAAACATCTCTTCGACACTCATGACTACGATGCTGACATGGCCATGTTAAACAAATCAAAAGAGGAGCTGTAGAAAACCACTGACCTTCTCTGAAAATACAGTGCCTAAAGTGCAGGTCTAAAGATTAATGCAGTGTTTTATAAATTTTTGACCAAAGACAAATCAGTGAGATCAGTGCTTTATGAAAGCAAAAATATTTGTGTATTTTATGCATAAAATAGTTAATGTTAATCAATGAAACGATAGGTTTTTCAATGAAACGATAAGTTTTATAATCATAAATAAAATAAGAGCTTAAACCACGAATTAGTTAACTAGAAGTAAACTTGAGGAAATATTCTTAGCTTGTAGGCTTAAAATTCTAGCAACATTTAAACTTAATCGTTCGATAGCTTAAAATAGTCTGCAACCTTCGAACGATAAGCAATAAGCAACAAGCTTAAAGTTCTGATAGTCTTTAATCTCTCTTCTACTAACATCATAGTCTCTGCTTCGATATCGATTCTAATAACATCATAGTCTGTGAAATCAAAAGTCGGAATTTAGTTTGAAACTTGGTTACTCCTTCTTCACATTGAGTCAGTTCAAGTCGTTCTCCAGCAGGACTTTCAGTGTTTTGTGACGAGCAGCATTTGAGAAGAGATCGTAAGCTTGGGAAATCTGGGACATGGGAACCTTGTGACTGATCAATTTGTGTGCTGGTATCTCTTCGTTCAGCACCTGAAAATTGTCGTAAATGACAGTTGTACGCAATACGCGGTATAAACGGACTTTCAGCAGTTTAGTTATAAAAACATTAATAACTCAAAAACTTAGCTAGATAGTTAGATAATATGTGAGTGGTGACGGTTTGTTAAATTTATAATAAAATGTGTAATAGATGAATAGATAAACCACAACTGAGTCAATCAGTAAATATAAGATTATAGTACTGACCTTATGAACGAGGGAGGGTATTGTATACCCGTATTGTATACCCGTAGTACTGACCTTATGAACGAGGGAGGGTATTGTATACCCGTGTACTGACCTTATGAACGAGGGAGGGTATTGTATACCCGTGTACAGACCTTATGAACGAGGGAGGGTATTGTATACCCGTAGTACTAACCTTATGAACGAGGGAGGGTATTGTATACCCGTGGTACTGACCTTATGAACGAGGGAGGGTATTGTATACCCGTGTACTGACCTTATGAACGAGGGAGGGTATTGTATACCCGTGTACTGACCTTATGAACGAGGGAGGGTATTGTATACCTGTGTACAGACCTTATGAACGAGGGAGGGTATTGTATACCCGTAGTACTAACCTTATGAACGAGGGAGGGTATTGTATACCCGTGGTACTGACCTTATGAACGAGGGAGGGTATTGTATACCCGTGTACTGACCTTATGAACGAGGGAGGGTATTGTATACCCGTGTACTGACCTTATGAACGAGGGAGGGTATTGTATACCCGTAGTACTGACCTTATGAACGAGGGAGGGTATTGTATACCCGTAGTACTGACCTTATGAACGAGGGAGGGTATTGTATACCCGTGTACTGACCTTATGAACGAGGGAGGGTATTGTATACCCGTGTACTGACCTTATGAACGAGGGAGGGTATTGTATACCCGTGTACTGACCTTATGAACGAGGGAGGGTATTGTATACCCGTAGTACTGACCTTATGAACGAGGGAGGGTATTGTATACCCGTGTACTGACCTTATGAACGAGGGAGGGTATTGTATACCCGTAGTACTGACCTTATGAACGAGGGATGGTATTGTATACCCGTAGTACTGACCTTATGAACGAGGGAGGGTATTGTATACCCGTAGTACTGACCTTATGAACGAGGGAGGGTATTGTATACCCGTAGTACTGACCTTATGAACGAGGGAGGGTATTGTATACCCGTGTACTGACCTTATGAACGAGGGAGGGTATTGTATACCCGTAGTACTGACCTTATGAACGAGGGAGGGTATTGTATACCCGTAGTACTGACCTTATGAACGAGGGAGGGTATTGTATACCCATGTACTGACCTTATGAACGAGGGAGGGTATTGTATACCCGTAGTACTGACCTTATGAACGAGGGAGGGTATTGTATACCCGTGTAGTACTGACCTTGTGAACGAGGGAGGGTATTGTATACCCGTAGTACTGACCTTATGAACGAGGGAGGGTATTGTATACCCATGTACTGACCTTATGAACGAGGGAGTGTATTGTATACCCGTGTACTGACCTTATGAACGAGGGAGGGTATTGTATACCCGTAGTACTGACCTTATGAACGAGGGAGGGTATTGTATACCCGTAGTACTGACCTTATGAACGAGGGAGGGTATTGTATACCCGTAGTACTGACCTTATGAACGAGGGAGGGTATTGTATACCCATGTACTGACCTTATGAACGAGGGAGGGTATTGTATACCCGTAGTACTGACCTTATGAACGAGGGAGGGTATTGTATACCCGTGTAGTACTGACCTTGTGAACGAGGGAGGGTATTGTATACCCGTAGTACTGACCTTATGAACGAGGGAGGGTATTGTATACCCATGTACTGACCTTATGAACGAGGGAGTGTATTGTATACCCGTGTACTGACCTTATGAACGAGGGAGGGTATTGTATAACCGTGTACTGACCTTATGAACGAGGGAGGGTATTGTATACCCGTAGTACTGACCTTATGAACGAGGGAGGGTATTGTATACCCGTAGTACTGACCTTATGAACGAGGGAGGGTATTGAATACCCGTGTACTGACCTTATGAACGAGGGAGGGTATTGTATACCCGTGTACTGACCTTATGAACGAGGGAGGGATATTGTATACCCGTGTACTGACCTTATGAACGAGGGAGGGTATTGTATACCCGTGTACTGACCTTATGAACGAGGGAGGGTATTGTATACCCTATATAGTACTGACCTTATGAACGAGGGAGGGGATTGTATACCCGTGCACTGACCTTATGAACGAGGGAGGGTATTGTATACCCGTGTATAGTACTGACCTTATGAACGAGGGAGGGTATTGTATACCCGTGTATAGTACTGACCTTATGAACGAAGGAGGGTATTGTATACCCGTGTATAGTACTGACCTTATGAACGAGGGAGGGTATTGTATACCCGTAGTACAGACCTTATGAACGAGGGAGGGTATTGTATACCCGTAGTACTGACCTTATGAACGAGGGAGGGGATTGTATACCCGTAGTACTGACCTTATGAACGAGGGAGGGTATTGTATACCCGTAGTACTGACCTTATGAACGAGGGAGGGTATTGTATACCCGTGTACTGACCTTATGAACGAGGGAGGGTATTGTATACCCGTGTACTGACCTTATGAACGAGGGAGGGTATTGTATACCCGTAGTACTGACCTTATGAACGAGGGAGGGTATTGTATACCCGTGTACTGACCTTATGAACGAGGGAGGGTATTGTATACCCGTAGTACTGACCTTATGAACGAGGGATGGTATTGTATACCCGTAGTACTGACCTTATGAACGAGGGAGGGTATTGTATACCCGTAGTACTGACCTTATGAACGAGGGAGGGTATTGTATACCCGTAGTACTGACCTTATGAACGAGGGAGGGTATTGTATACCCGTGTACTGACCTTATGAACGAGGGAGGGTATTGTATACCCGTAGTACTGACCTTATGAACGAGGGAGGGTATTGTATACCCGTAGTACTGACCTTATAAACGAGGGAGGGTATTGTATACCCATGTACTGACCTTATGAACGAGGGAGGGTATTGTATACCCGTAGTACTGACCTTATGAACGAGGGAGGGTATTGTATACCCGTGTAGTACTGACCTTGTGAACGAGGGAGGGTATTGTATACCCGTAGTACTGACCTTATGAACGAGGGAGGGTATTGTATACCCGTGTACGGACCTTATGAACGAGGGAGGGTATTGTATACCCGTGTACTGACCTTATGAACGAGGGAGGGTATTGTATACCCGTAGTACTGACCTTATGAACGAGGGATGGTATTGTATACCCGTAGTACTGACCTTATGAACGAGGGAGGGTATTGTATACCCGTAGTACTGACCTTATGAACGAGGGAGGGTATTGTATTATAGTACTGACCTTATGAACGAGGGAGGGTATTGTATACCCGTGTACTGACCTTATGAACGAGGGAGGGTATTGTATACCCGTAGTACTGACCTTATGAACGAGGGAGGGTATTGTATACCCGTGTACTGACCTTATGAACGAGGGAGGGTATTGTATACCCGTAGTACTGACCTTATGAACGAGGGAGGGTATTGTATACCCGTAGTACTGACCTTATGAACGAGGGAGGGTATTGTATACCCGTATATAGTACTGACCTTATGAACGAGGGAGGGTATTGTATACCCGTGTAGTACTGACCTTATGAACGAGGGAGGGTATTGTATACCCTATATAGTACTGACCTTATGAACGAGGGAGGGTATTGTATACCCGTGGACGAGTCCAGCGCTGAACCTGAAGTTACGGTGCCACATTCTCTCTAGGTTGATGGTGGCTGACTTGCCGTGAACTCCCAGCATCGCGATATGACCGCCTGCAATGATAGCTTGTCAAGTTTCCCTGGCTTGTTGCCGGCTGCAGAATGAGGTGCAGCAGAATGAGGTGCAGCAGACTGAGGTGCAGCAGACTGAGGTGCAGCAGAATGAGGTGCAACAGAATGAGGTACAACAGAATGAGGTGCAGCAGAATGAGGTGCAGCAGAAGAGGTACAACAGACTGAGGTGCAGCAGAATGAGGTGCAGCAGAATGAGGTGCAGCAGAATGAGGTGCAGCAGAATGAGGTGTAGTAGAATGAGGTGCAGCAGAATGAGGTGCAGCAGAATGAGGTGTAGTAGAATGAGGTGCAGCAGAATGAGGTGCAGCAGAATGAGGTACAGCAAAATGAGGTGCAGCAGAATGAGGTACAGCAGAATGAGGTGCAGCAGAATGAGGTGCAGCAGAAGAGGTAAAACAGACTGAGGTGCAGCAGAATGAGGTGCAGCAGAATGAGGTGCAGCAGAATGAGGTGCAGCAGAATGAGGTGTAGTAGAATGAGGTGCAGCAGAATGAGGTGCAGCAGAATGAGGTGCAGCAGAATGAGGTGCAGCAGAATGAGGTGCAGCAGAAGAGGTAAAACAGACTGAGGTGCAGCAAAATGAGGTGCAGCAGAATGAGGTGTAGTAGAATGAGGTGCAGCAGAATGAGGTGCAGCAGAATGAGGTGCAGCAGTATGAGGTGCAGCAGAATAAGGTGCAGCAGACTGAGGTGCAGCAGACTGAGGTGCAGCAGAATGAGGTGCAGCAAAATGAGGTGCAGCAGAATGAGGTGCAGCAGAATGAGGTGCAGCAGAAGAGGTACAACAGACTAAGGTGCAGCAGAATGAGGTGCAGCAGAATGAGGTGCAGCAGAATGAAGTGCAGCAGAATGAGGTGTAGTAGAATGAGGTGCAGCAGAATGAGGTGCAGCAGATTGAGGTACAGCAGAATGAGGTGCAGCAGAATGAGGTGCAGCAGAATGAGGTACAGCAGAATGAGGTGCAGCAGAATGAGGTGCAGCAGAATGAGGTACAACAGACTGTGGTGCAGCAGAATGAGGTGCAGCAGAATGAGGTGCAGCAGAATGAGGTGCAGCAGAATGAGGTGTAGTAGAATGAGGTGCAGCAGAATGAGGTGCAGCAGAATGAGGTGTAGTAGAATGAGGTGCAGCAGAATGAGGTGTAGTAGAATGAGGTGCAGCAGAATGAGGTGCAGCAGAATGAGGTACAGCAGAATGAGGTGCAGCATAATGAGGTACATTAGAATGAGGTGCAGCAGAATGAGGTGCAGCAGAATGAGGTGCAGCAGAATGAGGTGCAGCAGAATGAGGTGCAGCAGAATGAGATGCAGCAGAATGAGGTGCAGCAGAATGAGGTGCAGCAGAAGAGGTACAACAGACTGAGGTGCAGCAGAATGAGGTGTAGCAGAATGAGGTGCAGCAGAATGAGGTGCAGCAGAATGAGGTACAGCAGAATGAGGTGCAGCAGAATGAGGTGCAGCAGAATGAGGTACAGCAGAATGAGGTGCAGCAGAATGAGGTGCAGCAGAATGAGGTGCAGCAGAATGAGATGCAGCAGAATGAGGTGCAGCAGAATGAGGTGCAGCAGAAGAGGTACAACAGACTGAGGTGCAGCAGAATGAGGTGCAGCAGAATGAGGTGCAGCAGAATGAGGTGCAGCAGAATGAGATGCAGCAGAATGAGGTGCAGCAGAATGAGGTGCAGCAGAAGAGGTACAACAGACTGAGGTGCAGCAGAATGAGGTGTAGCAGAATGAGGTGCAGCAGAATGAGGTGCAGCAGAATGTGGTACAGCAGAATGAGGTGCAGCAGAATGAGGTGCAGCAGAATGAGGTACAGCAGAATGAGGTGCAGCAGAATGAGGTGCAGCAGAATGAGGTGCAGCAGAATGAGATGCAGCAGAATGAGGTGTAGCAGAATGAGGTGCAGCAGAAGAGGTACAACAGACTGAGGTGCAGCAGAATGAGGTGTAGCAGAATGAGGTGCAGCAGAATGAGGTGCAGCAGAATGAGGTACAGCAGAATGAGGTGCAGCAGAATGAGGTGCAGCAGAATGAGATGCAGCAGAATGAGGTGCAGCAGAATGAGATGCAGCAGAATGAGGTGCAGCAGAATGAGGTGCAGCAGAATGAGGTACAGCAAAATGAGGTGCAGCAGAATGAGGTGCAGCAGAATGAGGTACAGCAGAATGAGGTGCAGCAGAATGAGGTGCAGCAGAAGAGGTACAACAGACTGAGGTGCAGCAGAATGAGGTGCAGCAGAATGAGGTGCAGCAGAATGAGGTGCAGCAGAATGAGGTGTAGTAGAATGAGGTGCAGCAGAATGAGGTGCAGCAGAATGAGGTGCAGCAGACTGAGGTGCAGCAGACTGAGGTGCAGCAGACTGAGGTGCAGCAGAATGAGGTGCAGCAGAATGAGGTGCAGCAGAATGAGGTGCAGCAGAATGAGGTGCAGCAGAAGAGGTACAACAGACTGAGGTGCAGCAGAATGAGGTGCAGCAGAATGAGGTGCAGCAGAATGAGGTGCAGCAGAATGAGGTGTAGTAGAATGAGGTGCAGCAGAATGAGGTGCAGCAGAATGAGGTGCAGCAGAATGAGGTGCAGCAGAATGAGGTGCAGCAGAATGAGGTGCAGCGAAATACCTGCTTTAACGATGTCCTGGCAGATGTACCAGCCGACAGGTACTCCTATTGCTTCCACCACCAGGTCGACCCCGTGTCCGTGTGTCAGAGTCATCACTTCTTCCACCGCTGTTCCTGCACTGTTGTCTATCGTGTGTAGGGGAACAGTGGTTAGTCCATCTGTTGTGTTCTTCAGCTCCACACTTCAGGGTTGAGAGGATTAAAATAGAGACAGATCTGGAAGAACACACCCTTGGGCGTAGCTCGGGTAGTGTTTCATGTCTAATTTCTAGATATAAGCAAAAAGGGTACTCATTATCACATCAACTACCGTGCACGCTTACTTATATTATTAATACTTTGATATCGTGAAGGACCAAAGCTCACCATGTGTCCAGTCTATGATTGTTGGTATCAATAACGAAGAGCTCCCCAGGTTGATAGGACCCTGCGGTGATAAGAGACGCCAGACCAACCGGACCTACTCCCACTATAGCTATACTCATTCCAGGCTTGATAGCTCCGTCCAGCAGACCTACTTCTAATCCCGTTGGGAGGATATCCGAGCACATGACTATAGCATCTTCTATGTCAGTATCCCACACAGCCTCCGGGATGATCTGTGGAGAGAAGGGGTTATAAACGGATTACAGGGAAAACTGGGTTAACAAGAAGTACAAAAATATACAAAAATATACAAGAAATACAAGAAATACAGGAAAGAATAAACACGTGGAATACAACTACAAGGAAAACAAGGGAGACTCCCCACGTCAGAGCTAATCGACAGTAAAAAACTTAGAGCTGAAAAAGTAAAATGTCCATTAAACCTGTGTACTGAAATCTGCATGAGGTACCCGAGCATGAGTTCCTTGCATCCCGTCAATAGTATTACCTAAGAAACACGGTGGTAATCTAATTTACTTTTTGGCTAGAATTTAGATGACAAACGAAAGGTTGATGGAAGGTAACCGATTGTATTTCTTTTTTGAAAAATATATTGTTTTCATCACCATCACTCCAGAGCTCTGAAATTATTGGAAACCTGTTATTATAAAGAAGTACTTAATTTACGGGTCGCCCCTGTAAAATGAGCTCATTAGATAATGATTAGTGATTACTCCTTCAGAAAGTACTCCGTCTAGTAGAATGAAGTTTACAGATACTTTAGAACTTCCCAACACGATGTTACCATGACAACACACACAAAACCGTTAATTATTTTCCACTTTCTTGTGACCTGCAATGTGAGTTTACGGTTTAATATGTGAGGAATTTAGAACAATTTGATAAGAAAGAGATATCATAAATATTACTGACAATGAGTTGGATACCTTACGAGACATATTTTTTTTTAATCCCCAAATACTAGATTCAATTTGGGGTACGAAATGCTATGGTTTTCGGCAGGCAAAAAATCCCTATTTTCGTTTTCAAATCATTTAGGTCACCGGAATTATGTCAAATACAAATATGTCTCGTACGGTACTTCGTAAATTTTTTTGGAAAAAATGTTTATCAGAAACACTACGAACCAGTATCTGCAAATAAGTGAAATGTGAGGGATTTTTAGGATAAAATACCAAATTTGGCAATCGTTACTTACAACAGTACTTACAACCCTTTTATAATTTTGAAAGTGTTGAAAAGTCGGCTCCTGAGATGATGCAGAAAGAAGAGCAAAACTTTAAACAAAATTACTAAGAGTGACGAAGAGGTTGTAATTTTCAACATAATCCCAGGAGCCGTCTTGAACTGACAGTGACAACACTACAATTACCCAGCTGCCAGCCCCCATCCACACAGTGACCATGGAACTGAATTCTACAGTTGTCACATACGCCACATTGGGTAGTCGTGTTCACCAGGACTCTTTCGCCAACTCTTCGCTTTTGAACTTTTGAACCTTGAATAAAAAGTAGTAGAAGAATAAAATGATGATTTAAAAAATTGTTTATCAACGTTGAGAAGTGTTTATCACTGAATTAACAAGGAAATATTGGTACTCTGTCCGTTACCCTGACAACTCACCAACTTGTACGATCTCTCCTATACCCTCGTGTCCAAGTCTCGTTCCTGGTTCACAAGATGACACGTTCCCCTTCAGAATATGGAGATCTGTTCCGCAAATTGTTGTTTTCAGTACCTGAATAACAAAAAGGAAATAATTAATTATTAGCAGTCAAATAAACATTTCACTATCTGATAGTGATACCAAATCCCCTTTTAGAAAATATTTCAAATCCCCGACACGACAGTTTATCCCCTACTCTGAAATGTCACCCAGTTCAAATATCTTCACATAGTTTCATCGCCCTATATATAAACAACATTACCTTAATGATGACATCAGTGGGATGCAGTATCTCCGGCATGGGAAGACCAGTCTCAAAACAGAGAGGATGTCCTGGACCCTTGTAAACGACGTGAGAGCAGGAGTTGTCATGGTGATGAGTAGGAGTTGTGAGAGCAGGAGTTGTGAGAGAGTTGTCCCAAACAGGTTGGATAACTTCTGGTTGAAGTTCTGGCATCATGGGGCTCCTGACGTCGGGTGTCATGGTGATTCGTCTGAAGCTGCGGGAGAAGGTTTTGAAGAGAAATATTGATTATATTAATTGTAAATTTGATCCTAATTACTTATTGTAGAATTTATCGTAATGATATCTCTTACATTTTAAAATTAATTTTGAATAATTCATGGCCTGATCTGAATGAATATCTAACCTTCCACGTGTTACGCTTGGATCCACTTCAATCTGAGCAGAAGAAGATCGAACTGCGCTTGAGAACAGTCTCACTTGAGCGGCGGGAGTTTTCGTCAAGGCCTTTACAAATTGACGGATTGCTCCCAACTTAATCGTGTTCTTGCTGATTATCATCTCTATTTGTTTCCTAAGAATGGATTGGTTAGAACGTTATGAAAGACGATACCCGCCTATAAATGTCAGGATTAACCGAAACAGTCGAGTAAAGTAAGGGGTGTATGGGGTACAAAAATGAGGTTAATAACAAAAGGTCAACAACCACAAAGGATTAGGAAGAAGAACTAGTAGTCTAAAATGACGTGTACAATCCTGAAAGGAGAGTACAACACGAGAGAGACTATATATACTTTATTATGATACTACTAGTTCTACGCGGTACTTAAAGTTATTATATAAATGCTGTGCAAACAGAGTAGAAACTTTATTACTACTACTATTACATTAGTACTACTACTACTAGTAGTACTACGCGGTACTTAATATATAAATGCTGTGCAAGCAAAGTAGAAAAAAGATGATAATTTTAGCCGTGATTTAACTCACGTTTCCTCAAATATTATTTCTAATTTCAAGTTGAGTAGAAACGAAAGATTTATCTTTTACTCAACTGTCGTCAACATCAAATTACAGTTAAACTGGCTCACTAAACTGAATCAGAATGTGCAGCTCTTATCGAAAATATCGATAAATACATTTTTCCGAATTCCGTGAAAAATAAAATGATTTTTATATGCATTGGCATTTGGTTAGTTAACCTAAATATTTGTCACACCGTTAAATATCTAAGCTGATTGTGGGATAATTTAAGATTTAAACCGTATTACTAGAGAAAAATAACTTTAAGCTCTCGAACTGTTTTTCGAAAACTTAAAATGGAACTAACCTCTTACCATGCCATCGGTGTTTTAAGCAGGAGCTCTAAGTTTAACTTGTTTATTTTTCAAGTTATTTTTCTAATTCTAGTATTTGGAAACTTGATTCAAGAACAAGTACGTGTTTTAAATAAGATTAGGACCATTAATTTCTAATCTAATTCGATAAAGTTTTTATCAGTAATTCGATGGTAATTCTATATTCTGGCTCTACTCTACATCCGGATATTGTAGTTCACAAATGTTTAATTCCTGTTTAATTCCACGTACAATAAGACGTCTTGTGATGAAGACCTGATTTTAGGCCAACCGCCCACTTTAGTTCCGTCGCTTTGCCTAATTGGACTGAGTGATGTCAGATGTGACCCGTACTTTTAACATGAGCTGATAAGGATAACAAGTTTTAGTAAGCACAATTCTCCCGAATTGGACCACGAGTTTCATAGACTCTGTAGGAACACAGTACCGAAGAAGTGCACCACGAGTTTTATAAGTTGCTAAGAAACAGAATCCACCATATACATACATCAAATACTTTCAGCCTGGCCAACTTTGGTTAAACCAGTATAAAAGGTTCAGACAGGTTGTTCGCCAGAATAAGACCTGACTCACCATCTTCAGCATCCGGATTGTGTTTTAAATTGTGGATACATCACTCAAAAACAGAAACATTAAAGTTGTTTAGTTAAACAGGACCCAACACAATCTAAGTACAGTGCTGACTTCCTCCTTCAATTCTGTTCACGGAGTGACGAAACTGACGATATAACAGCCCCTCTACAGCCACAATACAGCCAAAATACAGCCACAATACAGCCCCTATACGGCCACAATACAGCCACAATACAGCCCAAATAACGCCACAATACAGCCACAATACAGCCCCTATACGGCCACAATACAGCCCCAATAACGCCACAATACAGCCACAATACATCCCCTATACGGCCACAATAACGCCACAATACAGCCACAATAAAACCATATACGGCCACAATACAGCCCCTATACGGCCACAATACAGCCACAATAACGCCACAATACAACCACAATACAGCCCTTATACGGCCACAATACAGCCACAATACAGCCACAATAAAACCATATACGGCCACAATACAGCCCCTATACGGCCACAATACAGCCACAATACAACCACAATACGGCCACAATACGGCCACAATACAGCCACAATAACGCCACAAGACAACCACAATACAGCCCCTGTACAGCCCCTATACGGCCACAATACATCCACAATACAGCCACAATACAGTCACAATACAGCCACAATATAGTCACAATACAGCCACAATACAGCCACAATACAGCCACAATACAGCCCCTATACAGCCACAATACAGCCTCTATACAGCCCCTATACAGCCACAATACAGCCACAATACAGCCACGATACAGCCACAATACAGCCACAATACAGCCCCTATACAGTATACAGCCCCAATAACGCCACAATACAGCCACAATACAGCCACAATACAGCCCCTATACAGCCACAATACAGCCACAATACAGCCACAATACAGCCACAATACAGCCACAATAAGGCCACATTACAGCCATAATACAGCCACAATACAGCTGCATAATACAGCCACGATACAGCCACTATACAACTACAATACAGCCCCTATACAGCCACATTACAGCCCCTATACAGCCCCTATACAGCCACAATACAGCCACAATACAACCACAATACGGCCACAATACGGCCACAATACAGCCACAATAACGCCACAATACAACCACAATACAGCCCCTGTACAGCCCCTATACGGCCACAATACATCCACAATACAGCCACAATACAGTCACAATACAGCCACAATATAGTCACAATACAGCCACAATACAGCCACAATACAGCCACAATACAGCCCCTATACAGCCACAATACAGCCTCTATACAGCCCCTATACAGCCACAATACAGCCACAATACAGCCACGATACAGCCACAATACAGCCACAATACAGCCCCTATACAGTATACAGCCCCAATAACGCCACAATACAGCCACAATACAGCCACAATACAGCCCCTATACAGCCACAATACAGCCACAATACAGCCACAATACAGCCACAATACAGCCACAATAAGGCCAAATTACAGCCATAATACAGCCACAATACAGCTGCATAATACAGCCACGATACAGCCACTATACAACTACAATACAGCCCCTATACAGCCACATTACAGCCCCTATACAGCCCCTATACAGCCACAATACAGCCACAATACAGCCACAATACAGCCACAATACAGCCACGATACAGCCACAATGTAACTACAATACAGCCACGATACAGTACGTGCATGCGTGACCCGCTCGCCCAAATTTAAAAAAAATTCATGTTGAAAGGCCTTACCTGGGGACCTCAGGCTATTATGTTCATAAACATATCGAATAGAGATTAGGCGGAATGACAGGCTGAGCGCGGCCCAGTAAGAAAGGCCCTGAAGGTTTAAAAGTAAAACTGTTCGGTGTATTTTTGCTCATGATTCCCAATCGTAAATCAGCCTGGCCACAGAAGTGATAAGTTAAAAGTCATGACGTAAGTTGAAAATGCTTCCCTCTGGAAAGTAATTATGGGCAAAAAACTGTTTCGGTCACGTGACAGGCTAATAAAACATCAATTTTATTTAATAATAATTGTTAACAATAACGGCTCGGGTAAGGGTTACAGTTGTGGTCGACCGTTGACCATTGTTAATGATCTGGCCCGGCGCGCGCTACTTCGTAGCACTTGCCATTGTAGCGCGATGCACTACTGGGTCGCGCCGCGCATCAAATAATTCTTCTCGCAACCACACCTTCGGTAGATCGGCGAGATGCACCACTGTGCCTCACCGAGCTGCGAAGGATTGACATCGTGAATCAACACTTGCCATTTCGAGAAGAAAGCGGCGCGTGCTTCTTCGAAGAAATTTAGACGAGTAACATCCGTCAAGGTCGACCGTCGACTGGTAGGTTAGGGTTTTGGATTATGGATAGTTTTGGGGTTACGGTTAGGGATATTAAGGTTGAGATTACACAGGGGGGTCTGAAACCAGGTTTTCGATCAAATGCTGCCATTTGAAGTCAGACGGCTAATATTAAATGGTAGTGGAGTCTGTGCAGCTCTCCCAGCCCACCTAATTTTACTGATTTGAAGGTCCCATTTTATTGACCCAGTACAGGCTAATATTAAATGGTAGTGGAGTCTGTGCAGCTCTCCCAGCCCACCTAATTTTACTGATTTGAAGGTCACATTTTATTGACCCAGTACAGGCTAATATTAAATGGTAGTGGAGTCTGTGCAGCTCTCCCAGCCCACCTAATTTTACTGATTTGAAGGTCCCATTTTATTGACCCAGTACAGGCTAATATTAAATGGTAGTGGAGTCTGTGCAGCTCTCCCAGCCCACCTAATTTTACTGATTTGAAGGTCACATTTTATTGACCCAGTACAGGCTAATATTAAATGGTAGTGGAGTCTGTGCAGCTCTCCCAGCCCACCTAATTTTACTGATTTGAAGGTCACATTTTATTGACCCAGTACAGGCTAATATTAAATGGTAGTGGAGTCTGTGCAGCTCTCCCAGCCCACCTTATTTTACTGATTTGAAGGTCCCATTTTATTGACCCAGTACAGGCTAATATTAAATGGTAGTGGAGTCTGTGCAGCTCTCCCAGCCCACCTAATTTTACTGATTTGAAGGTCCCATTTTATTGACCCAGTACAGGCTAATATTAAATGGTAGTGGAGTCTGTGCAGCTCTCCCAGCCCACCTAATTTTACTGATTTGAAGGTCCCATTTTATTGACCCAGTACAGGCTAATATTAAATGGTAGTGGAGTCTGTGCAGCTCTCCCAGCCCACCTAATTTTACTGATTTGAAGGTCACATTTTATTGACCCAGTACAGGCTAATATTAAATGGTAGTGGAGTCTGTGCAGCTCTCCCAGCCCACCTTATTTTAGAATGGACTCTGTGCAACCCAGTGTTAGAGAGTGTCTTTTTTAAAAAAAGGTCTCACCCTCTAAAAAAACTCCCGTTGGAGATTTGTATATTTATTTTACATTGGAAAACATTTCATTGTGTTTGACCTTAATTAAGGTCTATTTGTTTATTTCATTGTGTTTAAGCAACTTTAATTCTCTTTTTGAGAACTGATTCTTGTTATAGAAGTACACTCTATACAGTAATCTGATTTATGAAAATACGGTGGAATGAGCAAATCTGTTAATGCCATATTATAGCCATATAAAATTTAGATTAAGAGGAGAGGAAGTAAAATATTTATAATGATAATGATGACTGAAAGTAGATTAAACGGCTATTATTTAAAAAATAGATGACTCCAAAGTCTATACCACCTATTAAGATTTTAATTTAACTTATTGTATTGTTTTTACTGTTTTACAGAGCCTAATAATTGAATTTTGTAGCAATTATTATTATTTATTAATAACATTTACAGTTATAGGTTATGAGTTCTCAATTTGATGATGATTTTGTATCATCTGAAATTTACCCGCCCACTGTAAGTCATATAGTATTTATATCGATGTTCGGTGTAAAGCACGAGTAAAAGGTATGGTGCATGTTTTTCTATCTCCATAATGCATGTATATGGAATTCCATGTTCATGTCTTCCTTCCCAGTTCCACTTCCATGACACATTCCAGCACCATCATCTTATACTGCATGTAACCAAGAATAAGGTATTTGTTGTTCATATCTTGTTGTTCATATCTTCAGTTCCAGATTCACCTCACAAAACACCGCCTCTCGGATTAAAAGTTAGGATCAAAGCATTTTAATTGCGAAAGAAAAAGTTGTACCTTTGTACGGAAGGAGTCCTTTTACATCTTGACTCTCTTCGTATGACTATCAAGCTACAGCTTTAAAAGCAGAGAAGTTAGTTTAATGACAATTATAGACAAAGCCAGGACCATTGAGTGTAAAACTAAAATCTTGTACGTTTGAACATTTATCTCTGCAGGCGTCACAAAGAAAAGAAAAGGAAGCTGTCAGCAACAATTTATTTGGTTCTACAAAACCTTTCTCGGTATGAGTGGTTTGAGCGTATTTATATTGTGATATTATTTGCACTACTATTAGTTTGATGACAAATTGGAAGTAAAACGTACAGGTTTGAATTCGTTTGTCATTATCTCCAAATGCAATTGCTGTTATTTAACATTATTTAATTTCGAAAAACGGAGCAACCTTTTTTATTACAGGTCTACAAGAAGTCACTCGAAGAAGCTGTTAAAGAAATAAGAAATGATTTGGTAAAAGAAGAAGGGCTAAAATGGCCAATTTCCGATTCCCGAAAGACGAAACAAACCGGTAAATATCTGCGATTTCAAAAATTTGTATTTAATACTCATCAAACCTTTACAGAATCCAGCAATTATAACGTATAAGATAAGAATAAAATTAAATTCAAACTATGTATTCCCCGTCTGTAAAATCACGGGCTTTGAGTGGTGGTTTCCCACGACACTTAGATGGTAGAGAAATGTCCATGTATGCTACTCGATCACTAACTTGGTGGTATGAGACAACATTTGATACAAATCTTCTGTTGATGATAAAACCGAGTCCGCCATGCCAAGACAACTTCTGGTCGAACAAAAGAAGCCTGTGGTTGCCGGGTATAATAGTGTCTGAGTGTTTAGACACCTTAGTTTCTTGGAGGGCTATAACATCCAAGTTGTATCTGTTGCAATCATCTGCAGCAAGATGCTGCGAGTATTCCTGACTAATGCCTCTAACATTCCATGTAAAGTGGAGAAAAGCCAACGTGGAAGGAACTGAACAAAAACCGAACAAAACAAAGCTGAAGAGAAGTACTGTAAGCTTCTTGGAAGCGTCAGACGATCTGGTCGTAGTAGCTACTCCCATGTGTGCTCGTCACAGCAACACGCCATCCTAAAACATCTTAAACTTATAATTATAATTATTGCAAAACAATATACTGTTACTAGAAACCTGCTAGTCGAAAGCTTTGTTCGAGGAACTTAACAATCTGAGCCAGTTATAAAATCATGACGTAGCATACAGCATGGTAACGCCCGTTGTTAATCTGTGGTTGCTTGCGCACGTGTATTTTTAACGTTGCTAGGCGACGAAGCAGTAAAACTTTGCTAAAATATCGACATTATTCTAACCTCACTAGTCACTTCCGACATAAATTTAAAAAAATCTAAACGACATTATTCTAACGGTTATTGACCTCACTTTCGACGTTAATTATAAATAATCTAAAGCCTTAATCAAAATTCTAAGAATGCTATCTTTTATTCCTGTCCTTTTTCTACAACTCTGCTAAAATCGGCGAGGTTTCAACTCCATTTGCGAGCTGGAATTGGTCAGGCCAAAGGGTCATTTTTAGGTCGATTTTCAGTGTTTTTTCTTGTCCCCGTTGCCGTACCGGGGGTATTTCGTCAAGTTTAAAATATAGTATACTAGATAAGTACATTTTATAAATTAAAGAAATCATAAGTTGAACTGAAACCAAACATTTTTTTGTTGTACTAAATTGATTTAATCAGGTGCTAAACTCAACGTGTCGTTTTGCTACGGTCCAGTAGAGTTTGAGGACGCTCCCTTCATTAAAAGCAGACAGTGCTTTCTGAGGTGTCCCCATCGTGCCCCAAAGAACAGGAAACCTGCTACAAATGTTGGTTTTTAAGTTAATTTTACAAATCTTTCTTTTGTTAAGCTTAGAAGTTACGGCGCTGTTCTGAAATTAGAATAGTCCGATCTCATAACATTTTATTTCAGGATAAAGGAAAACAACGCATTAGAAAGCTGAAAATTAAAAGTACAAACTGTGAAGCAGAGATACGTCTTTATGAATACAAAGTGTTTACAGTTAACCGGGTAATAATTTCTTTACTGATTCTGTTTTAAAACAAACAAGTGACACTTGTTTTACGGATTTAAAATTAAATTAGCTGTAACTTTAAACTTTTAAAGGGAAGGATTAAATTATTTCGTTCATCATTTAAAAAAATAATCCTTGCCCTATGAGAGAGCGGCTATAATCGTAATCAAAGTTAAGTGTTGAGTTTTATTTCAAAATACTGTGGATTCCTCCATTTTTACAGTATTTAAAAACTATTTGCATCTATAACTGTTACCATCGGCTACCTGTCACCGTGTACATTGAACCATGGGAAGTAATCAGAAGCAAAATGGCAGTGAAAACTTTAATATCATCACCGGGAAACTCCTCGATAAGGCTGCAATACCTATCAGACCGGTTATCTCCGCTTTTGGCAGTGTTCAAGGTCGTTCGTCCATTATCAAACAACTCGATCAGTTAATGGTTCCGTCACTTGAAAGTTGTGCATAGTTTCTCGGTATTGCTCTTGCTGATCAGAAGGGTTTCAAGATCTCTGCTGAGCCAGCTATTATGGATCGTGTTTATTTCGGGTTCAGAGCTTTCTTGCCCGCCAAATGTAAGGAATGTAGCGAGGACTATGTTACTGACCACGAACCTAAGGTACCACCTTTTACGACTGCTTTAGATGTTTCAAAGGCACTTATAATTGCGAGAGGAACAGAGTACTGTACGAGACACTATCCAAAATGAATGCCCATTGCCCCTGCAGGATTTGTTTGGTTGTGTGATATTAGTATTATAATATTGTTGATCCGATAGAACCCAGAGAACATAAGTCACGTCATAATTCTGGAATATTCCCTACTGGGATTCAGTCTTCTGACAGCTCTAATGACTTAATCTTATCAAGCATTGCTCTCCAGTCTCCAGAACGCTTTATCGTCAACCCAATGTCCTTTACAATAATTGTTACTTTACCAGGTTCCTGAAGGAGCTAGCAGGACAGAGAGAGCGGATGCAATAGCAGCAGTGAGAGAAAGTGCTGAAGACACGTCCGCATTTGAGCTTCACACTCTGGCTTACCAAATCTGCAGAAACCACAACCACAAAATTGTTCCTCAACGAAACGCTGTATCATCTGGTTTGTTCTGTTATAAACAGTATTACTATACGTCTTTCTACCTCCTTACGTCTATTACTCCAAAACTTAAACTTTTTGTATATCCTTAAGCTTACTTACTAAGCATCGTTAGTCAGCCACCACTGCCAATAAAACAACGCTTTGACTTCAATTGTCGGTAAAAACCTTTTCATTTATCCTCAATAAATGTATTTAATTGTAGTTGTGAAAATAGTTTAATTGCAGTTGTGAAAATAGTATATATATTTATACATGTTATATATGTATGTATCACGACAATCTATCGTAAAACAGGTGTTCCAGAAAACCAAATTCCCGATGCTCCTGAAACCTGAAACTTTTTTTGCATTCGATTTGATCAACATCTAGACGCCCTGCAAAATTTCAGATCTCTAGTTACTCAATTTTAACATGGTTTTTAAGGCACCTGAATATGGTTATTTTGTGTTTTTTACAGAATTTCGTATAACAGTGCTGGCGAGTATTTTACGCAAATTTCTTAAAATCTTTACATAACTATTTCTTATTCCCGTCATCTTTGACATTAAATGAGAATATTTTGAACTAAAATTAAATCTGCTGAACGACTTCTTAATCCCCGAAAAATAGTAAAGGGGGAAAAATAGTAAAGGGGGTAAAATAGTAAAGGGGGTAAATAGTAAATGAGGGTAAATAGTAAATTGCGGTCTATAGTAAATAGGGGTAAATAGTAAATGGGGGTAAATAGTAACATTTTAAAATTTCAGAAGACATGGAGTTCCTCACTAAGATGAACTCCATAGGAGTTGTAGGAGACTCCACCCTGACTGCTCAGATGAATTACCAAGCGCAGCTAGGAGGAACACACTCCTGCATCTCCTCGTTTGATGTTCAAACGGTTGCCAACAAACGACGGAAGCTCCAAGACAGGAAATGTAAGTTCTGTTTACTTATATCTCCGTGCCGTGCAGTCCTGTTGAGTACGGCGGTTTCACGCCGTAGAGTCTCGGATCCGGTAGAATTATATTAAACATTTAAAGAATAGTTGAAGGTAGATTTGTCTCGATACATACTTTAAAGTTTAGTGGAAAAAAGTATGTATGAACTGCTTGTCTTGGTACTCTAAGTGCTATTGAAAAGTAATCTTGCAAAAATCTGTCAGCTGGATTGGATGGAGATATGAAACGGTTAGAAGAACTTGTCGCTGAAGAAAGAGACAAAAGCAAAGAAAGCTTAATCTTCGTTCGGTATCCGACCGAGGAGAATAGTGAATTTGGCTTTTTGTATCAAAGTGGTGCGTCCTTTGTGCTAAACATCGTTACTGACCATTCAACAACTATTTTTTATGTTTTTATTCTTCTGATTCTTGCATATATGCAATTGTTTTCGGAAAACTTAATGCCTATTTCAGCATTTATGAAGCACTTACTGTCCGTGTATGGAAATATGACAGTTTATTTGGACGCAACACATAATGTGTGTGACTTTGCAGATATATCGCTGTTTATTTTGGCTGTCAGAACCAACTGCGGGTTTCAGGTATTACTATGAATTAGCTACTTACAGCTTTATAAAACCAACTAAAGGTGATATCAACCTCATTTATAGCTCCGTTAGTCTTAGTCTATGAAATCAAAATAACAATATAATCGTGAACATTTCAGCCAGTGGCTGTGTGGCTCTCCAGTAGAGAGGAAGGTATTAGCATAACAGAGTACTTGCAAATGCTGAAAGATGCCAACCCAAATTGGTCACCACGATTCGCCATGTGCGACAATTGTGGAGCGGAATTCAATGGTTTTTTGAGTGTGTTTCCAGCAAACTCGAGTGAGTTGTAATACCAAATTGATAAATTAGTTTAAATCTGATGGTATTCGATTCAGGGGTGACCAATTAAATTTACTGTGAGGTACTCCTCAGCTCAGACGCAACTAATTACCTTATTTGATATAGCCATATTACATGTCTGGTTAAATTAGCATTATCACGACTGGGTTTGTTCATATCGATGTGTCGTTGCAGGTAAAAACTATGGAGGAGTGAAGTGTCTCATTTGTACCTTCCATTTACTCCAGGTAAAATTCACTACATTATTATTTAGTTATTTTATTTACCAGCCCCTGCTTGCTTATTATAATATAGAATATAATACACTATTATCTTTCACCTAGCCCCCCGGCCCCAGTCCTCATATCTAAGATATGATATCACGTCGATAATTTTAGGCTTGGAGAAAGTGGATTTATAAGAGTGACAACAACGTTCACCCTAATCAGCGAGAAGCAGATCTCGACCTACTTCGAGATATCCTGTATGCCAAAGATTGGTTAGAAATACAAAGAAAGGTCGATGAGCTGAAGAATAAAGCATCACCACAAGTAAAGCGGTACTACATGTCAAACTACGATCCTATAATAGAAGTAAGTAACAATCCTGATTTTTTTGTCCAAATAAACCCGAGATTGTGACTGTATTCCTTAAATACTATAGCTTAGGTATGAAATAATAACTTATGAATCTGCCGTAAATTTTATGCATTTACTAATCAATTTCAAAGAGATGGGCATTGTGCTATCGGACGAAGAGGATCGACAAAAGCAATACTAACAACGGTGTTGAAATAATGAATAAGGTCTTCAAGTACAGCAGCGAAAAAAAGAGAGGAAAAGTGATCCCAGTGCCAGAAATGATAACGGTGGGTTATGGTGCTCCTATCTTTTCAGCTGAACATAATATTATATTGAATAGAAATTGAATATAATATGGGCGCAATATCCCCCATCCCTATTATCTCGTTATTGTAAGATCAAAGTTGTATGACTATAGATATCAATGGCTTAATACAAATAAGCTTGTTTGACATATTTTTGTCTATCAGACATTGCCACGATTTGAATGAAAAAAGGGGAAGGATGTTAGGAAGAGAGCTAAAGTTACATAGCGGCCGCACATTTTCTCAGTTTCAACAGGGTCCTATTCCACGAATTTCTTGGTGATCTTGTAGCTCTTCTGGGTAACTTCAGTTCTTTCTTTAATACTTTATTTCCCCAGCTTCTTCTGCGAGACTTTCTGAGGAAGAAAGAAGCCTCGTATAGAGAGGAGAACTTCTCCAATGACGAGAAGATGAAGGAGCCAATGAGTAACATACCCTGTTACATGGTGGAGGCACCAAAACTTCTATGGAATTGGTGGAAGAAGGAGAGAAAACTTCGTCTGAAATATGATGAGGGTGAGTTAAAAGTTTCAAACCTGTTTAAAACGACGACACTAACTTGGTTAGTGTCGTTATATGTGTAAGAAGGCAAATTTATGGAGATTCGAGTATTTTTCGTAGTAATTTGTGAGTTTGTGGTCTCTCTTTAATGTTTTAATAACAGCTAGTAATTTTAGAAGGTAAACGGTCGAGCAAAGTATGCAAGGTTGTTGACGGAGTTTTCCTTGTGAGCTCCTCTCACCGGTCTGAACCCCACAAACTAAACATCAGAGGACCAACTTGTACCTGCAGAAATTTCTGCAGGACTCACTTCCCCTGCAGACATATGTTTCAAGCTATAGATGATGGTTTGATGGTATGGGAGGACCTGCCTGAGGATTACAGAAACATACCGTTCTTCATAAAAGATAAAGGTCTGTTTAATTGATCTTTAATCTGTTTGCATGTTAACATTCCAATTTTAATATTGAGGTTTATGACTTTTTCATGTGTTATGGCCGACGGTCGTGCGTCCCCGTCAATGTAGGAGGTGTGGAGCATTCCGAATGACAGTAGAGAAAATTTTGAACGTTTCAACAGTAAATATCATGTTACTAAAGCATCACTTCGACTCCGAGGCGAGGCATCCGTGTGAACCCTGGTTTTTATCAGGGTTGTACAGACAAAGATGATTTTGTCTGTTAAAGTGGGTAATCACCCTCTGACATCTGAGTCATAAATCACACCTCCGCAAGTTTTTCCAGGTTTTCCCTATTATATTCTTTGCTTCCAATTCTTATAAAGTTATAATAGTCAAAATCCAATATTATTTTTGCAGGAAGTGATATTGGGATATGGCCAGCTGATGTAAACAAATGTTGTGATTATCCAGCATCAGAAGATGAAGATGAAGAAGAAGAAGAAGATGAAGAGGTTGGAGAAAATAGGAATGCGAGAAAGAAGAAACGGGATATAGACTATAAAGGAGATTGGCGGGAAGTTACAAACAGATTTATTTCATTCGTTAATGATCCCGGGTTTGACGTGATGGACGATGATGTCCGTACATTATTTTTAAAGAAACTTACAGATACCGCCAATGATATGGCACCCTATGTTTACAAAAGAAACTAATACAGATATTATAAATAACATACGTCTGATAATATATAATCAGCAATCATTTATAGATATTAGATATTAAGCCAACCGTGTAATGATATTCTACCGCACTAAAGGTAAGCTTTATATCTCAGTATTTTAAATCTCCTTCTCGGTATTTAATCTTCGTCTCCATTTCTGATTAGTGTTCATTCTCTGTCTCAGTGTTCATTCTTTGGCTCTCTAATTAATCTCTTTCTCACTGTTCATTCTTTGTCTCATTGTTCACTGTTTCACTGTTCATCCTCCGTCTTAGCGTTAATTCTCTGTCTCACTGTCCATTCACTGTTTCACTGTTCATCCTCAGCGTTAATTCTCTGTCTCACTGTCCATTCACTGTTTCACTGTTCTTTCTCAGAATTAATTCTCTGTCTCACTGTATATTCTCTGTTTTACTGTTCTTCCTCAGCGTTAATTCTCTGTCTCACTGTATATTCTCTGTTTTACTGTTCTTCCTCAGCGTTAATTCTCTGTCTCACTGTATATTCTCTGTTTCACTGTTCATCCTCAGCGTTAATTCTCTGTCTCACTGTACATTCTCTGTTTCACTGTTCATCCTCCGTCTTAGTATTAATTCTCTGTCTCAGTGTTCATTCTCTGTCCTGCTGTTTAATCTTCGTCTTACTTTTCAATTTCTTTCTAAGTGTTACTGTGAGAAGAAAAGAAAGCCGTATGATATTGTTGTTAAAAGCTTGTCCCCTTCAATTAAAATGATATTTCGACATATAGAAAACGATGTAATGGAACATTAGATTTTGTTACAAAATATGGACAGTTTTGTTATTGTTTTTGTTATTGTACAAAACGTGAGGCGCGGCGACATAATAAATTTTAGAAATGCTCGCGCATTTTGATGATCTGGCGCGCGTCCACTACCATTTAACGTTACCCAAGTCAGACGTCGCCAACAGTTTCTCTCGTCCAATGAAATCGCTGCATTTTGCAAGTTAGTATGCATAATTGAATTACATATATTCATATGCGGAGCTTAGCTTACATAATGCAGCGATTTCATTGGACGAGAGCAACTTTTGGCGACGTTTGACTACACATGGCAGCGTTTGATCGAAAACCTGGTTTCAGCTCCCCCTGTGATTAAGGTATTAAGGTTTATGTAAAACCGTTTTGTTCGGCAGCAAAAACATAAAAACCAAAGCACAAAGTCACGTAAAAATAGTTTGGCTAGCAAATTGTATTTGTAAAAACCTGCGTGTCGCTTAACAGGTGATACTCATAAAATATTTGTTCCGTTTATATAATATATAATATCCTGTTCCAGGACCGTCGACGAGTACAGTCCAACTCGGCGAGCGTCCTGGTAGTGGTAGGTTTTAAACAAACAATGTGTCGCGTGACCAGTCATCAGAGACAGCATTAACGAAATCGTTTATAACCAATTGGGCTTTTAAATTGTCCATTGTTAATGGACTAGCCCGTCGCGCGCGCTACTTTGTAGCAATTATCGTATATTTACAACGTCGTACTGTTCAGTACTTCATGCTTGATATGAGCGGTACTTATGTTCACAGAGGCGCGCGCTCAATCACATATAATGAACGTTCGAGCGCGCGGTTTTTGGAAGCTTTCCATTTAATTAATTATTTAATGTTTAATCATTAATTGGCATCGCAGTGTTGACGGCTTGTACTGCGCAAACGACTGAAATTTCCCTGAAAATTATTTTAACGGGTGATACTCGTAAAATATTTGTTCCAACTCGGCGCGCGTCCTGGTAGGTTGTAAACCTACAAAAATATTCTGCTCATGAAATTTTGGCTTTAGTAATTAATAAATGTGACATGTAATTTTAAGTTAACAATTAAATTAATTGACGATGTCAATTCATTTCAGCTCGGCGCGGCACATGCAGTAGCGCATTTCGCCGATCTAGAAAGATCTGCGAGAAGCCTCATTGAGTGCGCGGCGCGGCACAGTAACGCATCGCGATACAACAATTAAATAAATTTTGCGCGCGGTGTGGCGCTTACAGCCGCACCTAAAGATTCCTCAACAATGTGTTACTGTGTTCGCAGCGGGTTGTATATATGAAATCGCAACCCACACAGCAATTTCCTTCGCAATCAGCACTTTCTCAAAAAAAAGGAGTACCGGGCTATTAAGAGCACGAAAAAGGGGAAATATCTGTTCGAGATGAATCAAAAGATAAACGAAAGTGGTAATGTTAACTGGGCGGCGCTCAAGCAACTGTCCGAACAACACAAAGATGAAGAGCCATTTGACATTTATGATCTACTCCTCTTTCATAAATTTTTTAACGACCTTTACAACCGTAAGTGTAGTAAGAATCACCACGCAGATGATGACGTCGTCTCTACTCCCACAACCGACGGGCTGCAAAACACTAAAAACTTAGTCGACAGTTTGAATCGAGACTTCATCTTACAGGAGACAAAAGATGCGATCAAGAAACTGAAGAACAACAAGAGTGTGTCCGATGACCTGATATCAAACGAGATGCTGAAAAACTCCAACGAGCAACTCCAACTTGTTCTAGTTAAGCTTTTTAATGCCTGTCTTCAGTGCGGAACCTACCCTTGGAACAACTCTATCACCACTCCACTCCATAAAAAGGGTGACCGTCAGAACCCCGATAACTATCGGGCCATTACCATTGGCAGCTGTCTTGGCAAGCTATTTTCAAACTTGCTCCTTAAACGGCTGATAGAATTTAGGGAAATAGCTTGTCCCGACCGACCGTATCAACTGGGATTCAGGAGTGGAGCACAATGTAATGACCACTTGCTCACCCTGAACACTATCATAGAGAAATATGTCAAAAAAGAGAAGAAGCGACTATTTGCCTGCTTCGTCGATTATCGGAAGGCGTTTGACAGTGTATGCAGGGATGCACTTCTATTCAAACTGGGCAACATGGGTCTCTCAGGCAATTTCTTCACTTGCATCAGCCACATGTATAACAACTCGTCAACCCGAGTTAAGCTGATCCAAAAACTCTCCGCTGCTATCGACGTTACCATCGGCACAGAACAAGGGCACCCGATGTCCCCTGAGCTCTTCAAAGTTTATATCCACGAGCTTTCCATCAGACTGGAACAAATCGAAGAGTTGAATGTCCCAATTTTAAACGGCATCAAAGTAAGCCACCTCCTATGGGCTGACGACTTAGTCCTCCTAGCACTTGACGCGTTCAGCCTACAATCGTTGCTGAATTGCTTGCACGACTATGCAGAAAAATGGGAGTTATCAGTGAACCTTGACAAAACCAGTGTGATGGTCTTCAATACAAGCTCACGCACACTTAAATGTTCTTATGGCTTTAAACTAGGAAGCCTGGACATTATACCAGTAAAAAGATACTGCTATCTCGGAATCCAATTCTCTCTGAATGGATCGTTTAAGCAAGCTATCGACGAACTTAGGAAGAAAGCTCTACGCTCATTCTTCTCAATGAGGCGAATTATCAACACGAAAGCGCTCACTACCAGCACGATGCTTAAACTCATCGATAGTCTAGTAAAGCCTGTAGCGACCTATGCATGTCCCGTCTGGCTCTCATCAACAAACATCGTAAAGGCTATCCTGTCGAAAAAAGAAGAAGTGAGCCTGCCTAAATCTGCAGCTAAAGATCCGCTCGAAACAACTCATCTGAAGATTCTCAAATGGATACTAGGCGTTCACAAGAAAGCTAATAACAACTTCTGCTATGGTGACACTGGTAGAACCCCCTGGACAGTTACCGTCATTCCCCAATGTTTAGCTTACTTCCATCGGGCATCCCTGGCGGTAGAAGGTAACGTGAACACTCTTTTGCACCACACCTTTCAAGAGCAAAAGCTACTGAATCTAACCTGGTATGATGCGTGGTCAACTATTGCCAAGATGAGTACAGTCTCCAAGCCGCAGTTATCACCCACCCTAGACGCTTGTGAGTACATACATGAGACATTTGTTGACCATTGGAAGAGAGATCTCCTCAACCAGCCCAAAATGTCTTTCTACACAGCGGTTAAATTCGAGTTTGGCGAAGAACCCTATTTACAGCTCCCCTGCCGGCTTAAAAGGGTCAATATTGCTAAACTCCGATCTAGCAGTCACGATCTTAGGATAGAAAAAGGTCGCTACACCAAAGATCAACTCAACACAGCTCTTAAAACGTGTCGCTTCTGCTGCTCCTCAGAAACGGATGTCATACGTTTTTTAGAGGAGCTCCCCTTCTTTGAAACTCCTATTCTAGAAACCGAAGACCACGTCCTAACTGAGTGCCCCTACTACCATCAACTCAGGTCCAACCTCTCTGACAACCTCAAAAGCCTGTTGATGCTAAAAGAATATGGAGCAATAATGAACTCACCCCATATAAAAGAGTTCGGGAAGTACCTTACAGACTCCTCAAATCTACGTAATCCTCCTAAAACGTCCCTTAACCCTCGCAAACAGATGTAGTACTCGAACTTTATTTACTGTATTACCTTAAATTATTATAGACGATCTTCTTTTATTTTCGTGAAATTGTAAACGGTTAAATTTTACTATTTTTAAATGATTCAGTTTTGATAATTTTATTTATTCATTTATTCATTTATTCATTCTTGTATAGCCAAGACGAGTCCGTTAGTGTTCTCTCTGGTAATTTCATGTTTAATCCTGTTTAATCCTATGGTTGAACTTCAAATTTGATTTTTTAAAAATATAACATTATGCATTATATATAATTATATATTAATTGTTTTGTGATAAATAAAAATTTTGACTTTTTAAAATTTTTTTTGTCTTTCTCACTTGTCTTGGGCCATTTCAAGAAAAAATTTCGAGAAGAAAGCGCCGCACACTACTTCGAAGAAATTTAGACGAGTAACATCTGTGATGCCTTTATAAAATACGAGCACGCTTAATTAACAATGTTAATTCTTTGCTACTCGGCGTAGCGCATTTCGCCGACCATCGGTCAGAAAACCAGGGCTCATGCTGCCGCTGAGCCTTTCTGGGATCTAGCACATCCTGAAGCAGACCAACTTACTTACTTGTACTTGTACTTGAAAAGGTCTCCTCCTAGTCGTTGGAGTGGCCTGCACCACATAGTAACTCCTTTCTCCGGTATTAGACCTCTCCAGTGAACCCTGTCTGTAGCTTGTTGTTCTGCATCAGTTAAACAAAAATTTCAGTTAAACAAAAATTTCAATTTTATGCCATTTATTACAGATTAAACAAGTTTACAATAAATCAATTTCATATTTAACGGAATCCTAATTCAATGTGCAGTATGGTTGTCACTCTTTAAATAGATTAGATATAGGTTGACGGGGCAAAGGAGTGTGCGTGCTGTTCGCTATTGCTCACACCAAACGGCAACCTAGTAAATGTTTTGTATGAACACCGGTCTCCATCACGACACAAAGGATTGTAGAATTTATTGTATAACTATTAGTGCAGTGGAGGTAGCGGTGTGGTGCATTAATAGAGTGACAGCCTACTGATTTAGAGTTGTTTTTAAGTGAGCATAATGGGTGTATTTTTGGATCTAATGGCAACTTTAAAATTTGTTCTTTTAATCATTTATTAAATATCAGTTTAAAAATATATAAATCTGGAATCTGTTCACTCTGTGAACCAGTCCTAAAAAAAATTCCAAAAACCCTCCTAAATTAAATATTAAAAACGTCTCAGTAATGGAAATAGTCATACAATTAAGAAATTATCCAAATTCTTAATATCTACCTAAGAGAAAAATACCTACCTAAGTCAATTTCTACCTGTAATACACTAAATATTAGGTTAAATAC